CGCTGTCGACCGGCTTACGTCACTTCTTAGTACACACTCTTGGTGCGAATGCAACCCTTTAAATGGTACTGGGAAATAGTCCGCGCAAAATCGTCCCAGTACTTTAGTACTGTACATTTAGTTCTGGAACTAAAGCGGTGCGAAAGGCCCTACTGATCTAAACACAGAAACGTGAACAGTCACACCATTGTGCAATTTCTGGAAACAGTTCCTGTTAAACTGGTAAAACAAGTAAACCATACCTGGTATTTCGAATGTGTTTGCTGCTTCTTTCCATGCACTGAAAAATAAAGCCCCGTCATCAGTAGTCATGGAGCTTATTTGACCATATTCATGTTTGTACAGCAGCAGGACTCATCTGTGGTGCAGGTATCTGGTCACTAAAAAAAAACAAAAAACATATGTGAGCATGTTGATATCAGGAGCATTATATATATATATATATATATATATATATATATTTATATATATATTTCTTTCCATGCACTGAAAAATAAAGCCCCGTCATCAGTAGTCATGGAGCTTATTTGACCATATTCATGTTTGTACAGCAGCAGGACTCATCTGTGGTGCAGGTATCTGGTCACTAAAAAAAAACAAAAAACATATGTGAGCATGTTGATATCAGGAGCATTATATATATATATATATATATATTTATTTATTTATATTAAAACATAATTTTGTAGTCATAGACACATGTTTTTGTATGTACTATCATTATAGCTTGGGAAAAACCCAACTAGTAGAATGTGTTCAAGTTTATATCACAATAACACGTTAACTAATGCAAATAAGAAAAATTACTCTGAAGAAAAGTGTCTTCTATCAAAAATGAAATGTAACCTAGATGAATCTTGCTGCTTTGATTATTGAGGTGATGGGGCGTTTACATGTTCGCGTGGCTCACTTGGATGATTACTGTATGAATATCCTGCGTCGCACGTGGATGTAACTAAATTACAGATAATGAGCTCAGACAGAAAAGACTGTACCTCTTGTTGGTTTCTATTGGATTACTTTATAAGAGAATATTTGTTTTCAATATGACTTTCTTCATTTAAAAGTAGAGACTTCGAGCTTTCTATAGACTAATTTCTCATGTATGTGTGTTAAGTATTCGCTGAGATTTGGTTCATTTTTGTGATGCATTTCAGAGACAAGTTCACGGAGACCAAGATGGCAAAAAGTGCAACCTGTTTGTTTTCTTTATTTTACAAAACCACAATGTTTTGTTGTTATTGGAGGTGTACAAAAATAAAAGCAGACCCTCTGCAGTTTCGAATGATATATTACTCTTATCTGAAAGACGACCAGGACCAGGCCTGGACTATTTATGTTGTATTTTGTTTATGTTTGTGTGTGGCAGTTGTCCATGAGGGGCTGCCGCTTTTACTTTAGTTTTGTGTTTATTTGATTTTTAAAGTTTTATGTTTAAATGTTTGCCGGTTCCCGCCTCCTCCTTCCCGTAGCTACGAACTGAGTTACATTGGTGCCGAAACCCGGGAGGAAGGAGGGACACGCTGTCAGACAGCCCTCGCTGCAGAGGGGGATCGCGGTGCTGAGAAGGTCGGGCAGCATGAAGGAGCAGAGACCACCATTGGCTGCCCGAGGTGGTGGTGCTGGAGTGATGGAAGACGAGATGGGACGGAGAGCTCGCTGCCATGCTCCGGGGTTGAGGAGGGGTGGCTGCCATCCGAGAGGGAGCGGAGGAGACGGCGCCATTTGCCGGGAGGCCGGAGCCTGCTGCTTTCCACCATGTTTGTGGAGGAGCATGCCGGCTGCCCTCAATTGGAGGAGCCATCGCCGCCCAGCAAGGAGGCGGAGGAGCATCGAGCCGTCCATGAAAGGATGTCCAGTGCCATCGCATTGCACCGCGAGTGAGAGCCACTCAGCTGGTTGAGGATCGAGCAGCAGTGTATCTGGGAACCGGGTCGAGATTGTCGAGATTTTTTTTTTTCCTTTTCCTCTCTCCCCTCGCTCGTCTCCGTCTCTCCTCATCCTTCTGTCTCCTTTTCTCTCGCCTCGTCTGTCCTCGGAGGGGGGGTGAGTAGAGTGCAGTCTAGTGGTTACCCCCCCGGCCTGCTAGGGGGTATGTGACAAGTGGGGCAGAGGCGGTGGAGTAAATGATAATGAGCGACAGCTGTGCCACACCGGTCTCGAGTCCCACGGAGGAGCTCTCGAAATATAAAATGAGGAGTGACAACAGTGGGTGCTTCTCAATTCTTATTTGTGCATCCTCGTTTCCTTTCCTCGTGTCTTAGCTCCACCCCTTCAGGATGCGAGGGAAGGACGCAAGGAAAAGACGTGAGGACTGAGGAATTGAATCAAGTGAAATTATATATCCTCGCTCCCTTTAGCATCACTTCAAAGCGTCATCAGCTGCGCTAAAGGGATCTGCCCTTATGTTGTTAAAGTTTGTTATTTAAGACATTCATAATAAATATTAATAAAGCAAGATGCCCTGTTTGAAATATATGACATGTATGGTTTATTTAAACTGCAAAGGTAAAATATAAAAATTATTACAACAGATGTGAAGGGGGAGGACAATTTATACGTGCGTCAGGTTTTTCGATGAAAAACACTTCCACAAAGGATACACTTGTGTATCCTCGCTCATAGCTCCTCTGGAATCCCCCTCACTCATTGATCCTTGCCTCCTCGCAGTGCAATTAGAGAATTGAGATGTCCTTCAAGATGGCTGAGCTCGATCGGTTTCTGAGTCATAGGATGAGGAAGGAGGAAACGAGGAGGGATATTGAGAAGCACCCAGTAAAGGATGAGAGAGGACCAGGCCTAGACTATTTATGTTGTATTTTGTTTATGTTTGTGTGCGGCAGTCATCCATGAGGGACCATAACTTTCATTTTGTGTTTGTTTATTTGATTATGAAAGTTTTATGTTTAAATGTTCGCCGGTTCCCTCCTCCTTCCCGTAGCTATGAACTGCGTTACATTATTCAACTTTTAAAAATATTTAAAAAAAAATATTTTTTACTCTTTTTCATTAGATGAATCAATGGGCAAATATTTCTAAATTAAGGAATAATTTACAAATCCATGGGAAGGTAAAGTTGATAAATTCAGTGTGTACAGTTTTTAAACCGAATAAAGATACCTAGTACAAAAATCCTATTACTTGGCCTTAGGTAAAGTCCATTTATTTTGAATGGTTTCAAATGGTTTCTCATTTTGACCTGTGAGATATCCTAAAAGTATCCAGGCAACTTTATCTTATGTATTAACTTAAAGGGGTCATATGATGCGATTTCAATTTTTCCTTTCTCTTTGGAGTGTTACAAGCTCTTGGTGCATAAAGAAGATCTGTAAAGTTGCGAAGACTATTCTTTGTTTTTAAAAAAAAATTATGTACAGTATATGGCAGTAATCAGGTGCCTTTTTAGAGATGTGAGATACTACATTTCAGAGGTCAAGCACACAAATACTTTGGGAAAAAAAGCATCAACAATACTGTCAAAAGACAATTGGGTTCATATTTTACACAGAGAAATGTCATATCAGAATAGTTTTAACTAAAAATTTTGATCACTGACATCAGCCACTGTGTTAAATGTGCTCTGACTCTCTAATCAGGACTGGGAAGATGACGTCAGACGTTTTAAACGGATCTTCCGTCATCCTAGTCACACAGAGCTTGTGGTTCTTATCGGAAATCACGACATCGGCTTCCATAATGAGTGAGTTTGAGGGTTGCAATTAACCTGCAGGTCAAATGTGTGGTTCATGTGTGGTTTTTATGCACACACATTGTCCATGAGTGCATTTGATTAAATGTTTATGATGTTTTCACTGTATCATATTACAGATAAAATTACATTATATTTCAAATATCTGCAGTATTGAATAATATTTAAAAATAATCACTTTTTTGGCTCAATTGTGAATTCTTACTTGGAAGTGATGTTAACTTTAAAAAAAAAATTTTTTTTTAAAGAAATGTTTTTGCAACATGCTGTCAACAATCTCAGATCAGTTTTTAGCAGCAAGACGGACAGGTTGTAGAATCAGGTCATTGTATTTTCAAGGGATTTTTAACGTGTGTGTGGCTGTGTGTGTGTGTACAGGTGCCTGATTTGACTAAGGTGTGCTTCCTGTATTGTCTTTCTCTTCCCTTTGGCAGAATGACTAAGCAGAAGTTGGAGCGGTTTGAGCGAGTGTTTAACGTGACGTCAGCACGGATCCTAACCATTAAAGGAGTCAAGTAAGAATTATTATTAATAATAATAATAAGAAGAATAAACTATTTGTATAGCACATTTCATACACAAAATGCAGCTCAAAGTGCTTCACAAGATAATAGAGTCTTAAAAAGTAACATTGGCAATTCAATTTCAATGTCAATATAAATAATACCCCCCAAAAACTTAAAGAAGCTCACAAAATAAAATATAAGAACAAACACTGACAATATGATTCAGCCACACAATATTAATATTAATTTATACTCAAAAGCAATTTTTTTTTAAATGTCTTGAAAATATGTTGTAAAAATATGAATGCTAGAAGCCTCTTTCACTTCAATTGGTAAGCAATTCCAAACTTTTGGAGCATAGTTACTAAAAGAAGCACCACCGGATTGTTTAAGATTTACTGTATAGTGTACCAAAAGACTAAGCACTAGAGCAGGGGTGTCAAAATCAATTCCTGGAGGGCCGGAGCCCTGCAGAGTTTAGATTCAACTCTAATTAAACACACCTGATCCAACTAATCAAGTAGTTCAGGCTTATTTGAAAACTACATGGTATGTGTGTTGGAGCAGGGTTGGAACAAAACTCTGCAGGGCTCTGGCCCTCCAGGAATTGAGTTTGACACCCCTGTACTAGAGGATCTTAAACTATGATTTGGAGCATATCTTGACAAACAGTGAGTGCCATATGAAGGTCCCAGATTATGCAGTGCTTTATAAAAATAAAATAACCTTAAAATCAATCCTTTGGTGAACTGGCAACCATAATGCATTTTGCATTAATTGTAGCGTAACTATACAACTCTTAGACAAGCCAGTAAAAATAGCATTATAATAATCAAGACGAGAAAAGGTGAATGCATGAATTAGTTTCTTAGCATCAGATAATGCTTAGTTTCATAGCATCTTAGATAAAAAGAACAAATCAGCACAGTATTTCTCAGATGATAAAACAAGTTTTTGTACCTTGATTAACATGTGACGTGTGGCCAAGTATGGTGACCCATACTTGGAATTTGTGCTCTGCATTTAACCCATCCAAGTGCACACACACAGTAGTGAACACACACACCGTATACACACACCCAGAGCAGTCGGCAGCCATATTGCTGCAGCGCCCGGGGAGCAGTTGGGGGTTCGGTGCCTTGCTCAAGTGTCTCACCCTCAGTTGTGGTATTGAGGGTGGAAGAGAGCGCTGGTTATTCACTCTCCCCACCTACAATTCCTGCCGGACCTGAGATTCGAACCCGCAACCTGCGGGCTACAAGTCCGACTTCTCTAACCATTAGGCCACGACTGCCCTATGTTAGACTTACACTCACAGGCCACTTTACTCTGTTCAATTGCTCCTTAATGCAAATCAGCCAATCACATTGCAGCAACCTAATGCATTTAGTCATGTACCCAGCTAACAAAAATAAGTTGTCAGAACGTTTTGCTAACATTCCCATTAAGTTATGAAAACGTTATTTCGGAATGTTTTGTACACGTTGAAAACGTCCCGTTTTTTTTTATGTATTAAGAACGTTTTTTGTGGGGTTTCTGCAAACGTTACAGGAACATTCCATCCTACCATTTTGAAAACATTATGAAAACGTTATTACGGAATCGGTGTTGATTTTGACAGGCATTTTTGATTTAGGCTTAGTCTTTATCTTGAGACGAAAATGCTTGATAGTCTTAGTCACATTTTAGTCATTTGAGTCTTTCATAGTTTTAGTCTAATTTTAGTCGACGAAAAGTCATTGCATTTTTGTCAACTTTTAGTCATTACTTTTAGTCAAATTGCAGTTACCAACATTTATTTTGGTAGCTATTTTATATGTAGTCTTCAAACAAAAATAGT